TCATAATAAAACTGATTCAACGTTTGGCTCCTATCAATTAACATTTTATAACTGTAGTGCATTTTCAACATGTTCATCATGTACAAATGTTATTCAATCTTCTTCATTATGTTCATGGTGTCCTACTACAGCCACATGCATTGATAGTACATCAACATGTCAAATTGAATTAAAACGACCTAAAACATCAATCTCAAATCAAAATGATTGTCCAGCTATGTATTTCACTCAACAATATCGAATTTCATTTGATAATTTTGATATATCGATTAATGTTAAAATTGAGCAATGCAATAAAAAAAAATTCTATTTACAAAAAATGGATTATTGTATGTTACGTGATTTTAGAAAACGTTCATCTCTCATCACACGACAATATAAATTAATTCAAATAGAGACAAATAATAATAATGATGATGATTTATGTTTGTTAACATGTCAATTTACATGGATTAATCAACAACAACATATTTCATCTTCACGTAAACCGTTAAATATGGAATTATCTCTACATTTAATTAATAATTCACTATTAATACCAAAATATTATTCAACATCACAAATTCAATTATATAAATGTGAAAAAATGGCACATAATTGTTCACAATGTTCAAATTTACATCCATTATACAATTGTGTATGGTGTAAAAATGGATGCCGTCTAAGCGGTACAGTGTGCGATAGAGCAACAAACAAACAACAATTGTGCGTTCCACCTCAAATTGAAACTATTGAACCAATCAATTATCCAAAGAATGGTGGTACAATGGTAACAATAACAGGAAAACATTTAACAACAATAATGAATGATAGTCCAATTAATATTCAATTGGCTGGTATACAATGTGAAATAATTAAAGAAAAATCAGATTCTAATCAGTAAGTTTAGAGAACAAATGCGACTTATTTCATAAAAAATCTTACGTTAAGACCGTATCTGATTCAAGTTTAGCTTATTTTCGCAACATTCAAGTTAAATCTGAATAAAGACATACTTAAGCACTCAACTAAATTAAGTTAGGTCAAGACAAAGTATAAATTTACATTAAATTTAGCTTAGATTATTTGCGAAATGCATCATTCCTGATTAGGCATGCACCGATTATAACTGAAAAATTTCATCTTTTTTCTGCAATGAATTGCATGCAAAGTACACATATTCAAATTCTTTTAACAGCTGGATTTTGTAGAGTAAACATTTTTCTACAAGATGAGCTATGACGGAAGCCTTCATGTTTTCTATTTCTGCTACAATCGCTTTTCAACAGAGGGTCCTAAATCGGTTATGACCGATTATGGAACGTTTAAGAAATCTGTTTCTTTCATAAGTACTGAATCAAGACAAAGAACAGCACATCTTGTAGAAAAATGTTTGCTCTACAAAGTTGAGTAGTTAGAAAAATGTTAGAGAATCAACGTTTTGAAAAAAAAAGTGCACAATTTCAATCGATTATAACCGGTGCATGCCTATTCCAGATCGAAAACGGTAAATAATTATTTGTCTAATATTTTAGATTGATGTGTCGTGCTGGAAATGCTGAACAAAATAAATCAGGTCATGTAAAAGTGACGATTGATGGTCAACACAGTATCAGTGAACAGCATGTGTTCTATCTAATGCCCTTAGTTGAATCAATTGAACCTTTATTTGGTATTTTGGATGGTGGAACAATATTAACAATAATTGGACAAAATTTTACCCTTGGTAATCAATTTGTAACAGTAACAATTGGTGAAAGTCTATGTAAAATATTAATCATACAAATGAATTTTATTCAATGTCAAACATATCCATTTGAACGTATTGGAAATAAATCTATCACCATCACATTTGATGAACAAACGAGTATTATTTTTCAACAATTTTTTTACGTTGTTCAAAATCCTACAATTGATATTGATTATCTTATACCTCAACAAAGTTTTGTTAGTGGTGGAAGACATATACATATAATGGGAACAAATTTTGATTTTCTTCAACAAATTAAAATGGAATTTTCATTAGAAAAATCAACATCGACTGTTTATGTATCATCTATGCGACGTTTAAGTAATTCAACTCATCTTGTTTTCTTAACACCTTCATATCATGATTTTAATTTAACTACACTACAATCGACTCTACCACCAATTATCAATATTAAATTGGATCTTGATGGTTATAATTTCACACATTCATCTCTATTTCTTCATTATGTCAATGATCCAATTATTTACGAATTAGAACCTCCATTGATCCGTCCTTATTCTAGTGAATTAGTTATATTTGGAAATAATATGACTTCAATTGGTCATACAATGAATGATGTTTTTGTCCATATTGGATGTGAGATTTGTACTATTATCTATTTTACATCAAATAAAATAATCTGTCGTCCACCAATTAATAAACCATCAAAACGAATTACATCAAATAATATGGAACGATTATGTTATGATTCAGAACATCCATGGATCATTGTCAATATTGATAATATTCATTCACTTGTCGGATATATAATTTATCCAAGAAAAATAATTATCTTAGGTAAATATGATAAAATTATCATTTTATCTATTTTCATTTGTTTTCATGTTTCAGGTATTGTTAGTGGATGTTTATTAACAATTTTAGTTGTTGTTGTTATTATCTTAATATTTATATGTTTAAAAATGCGTTATGAACATCATAAACGTCGATATGTGTACGATGATAACAGTGATAACAAGAATAAAAAACAATATATTGAATATCGAAATGGTAGTACAAATTTAATTTATCAGCAAGTACCATTAAAACAAAGTGACGTGATTGAACCACTCTACAATCAAACAATTACTCCACTTGTCTCATTAACACCAATTCGTTCCTATGAATCCTATTTACAAACATATTTTATTCGAAAAAATCAATTATTGAATAAACGGCGTTCGTCAACATCGTACGACACTCCAAAACACTTTGTATGCTCAGCAACAGATGATTTAATTGAAAAATTTCAAATATTTTTAAAAAATGAACAGTTTATCTTAGCATTAATTAATATTTTGGATGATGATGATATTGGTGATAAATTATTGAATACAATCGTTTTAACACAACATCAAAATATTCAACAATTTTTAAAAATTATTTTAACTTTTAAAAGTGAGAAAAAACGTTATAATTTATATTATGATATATATGCTTTAATCAGCTATGATTATTTAAAAACTTATGTAGCCAATACTTATTATCAACTCTACTTAATATTAAAAGCAAAAATGAATAGTGGACCATGTGATTCAGTTGAAAATTTATCTTACTATACATTAAATGATAGACAATTGCTCAAAGATACCACGATTTCATTTAAACACATTCAATTATGCGTTCACATTGAAACAGCAGATGACAAGTAACGTAACATTAAATATTTCTCTCTTATATCTGTATTAAAGATATTCTTTCCGTGCGTTCTCAAGAACCTGAGAAAAAAAAATAGAGTTTCAATTTATATAAGCAGAAAAAAGCAAAGTATGAATATCTATCTCTTATACTACTTCTCCCTCACAAACGTAGCTTTTTCAATCGGTTAGTCGAATATTTCGATGCCTCTTCTTTGACCACTTAATAAAACTAGTAGTTGAAAAATACTAGAAACCTACTAGTCGACATTACAGTCTACTCTGTTAAAAAGAAGGTTTGTGTACAAAACCCAAGAGGGTATCGAGAAGTGCAACCATTTCTAAACCCCTTAGGTTTACAGTACAAAACCGTTTAAGTGCATAAATTCTATTAGTATTTTTTCTAAAACTTTTTTCTAAGTGAACCATTTCAGTAGTTTAGGCGTACTGTCATAGTATAGGGCTGCGAAAACTGAGCCAAAAAAATACCTGAAACTTCTGTAATTTTTGATTTTTCGCTAGAAAATCATGAGGAAAAAACAACGAAATAAACAAATGCACACTGTTCAATCATTTAGATGCACTTAAAAGTATTTCATACCGTAGCTTTTCTTATACGAAACCTAAAAGGGTTTAGAAATGGTCACACTTCTCTATACTCTTTTAGGTTTCGTACACAAACCTTTTTTTTAAGACAGTAATCGCAGTGAGTACTTCGAACAATCGGCTAGCAATTAGATTTTCGACTAGATTAATAACTTACTAGACGGAGTCAACTAATCATTAGTGAGAATTAACTTTTTATTTTTAATGCTCAAATTAACTAGTCGAGCACATGCATATCTCTGTTGAGAAGCAATAGTCGAAGCTACTATATTCGACGAGTCGTACTGCTTCGACTAGACGTCAACTAATCTAATTTTGTGATAAAGTCAATCATCTTTTTATTTTACTTAGAACCTAAACAAATATCTGCTTTGATTTGTTTAAATCAAATGTTGGCAATATCTGAACAACATATCTAGTGGAAGCAGAAATATCTCCTTATTTATTTATGCTGATTCTTTTAAGAATACATAAAAAATTTTCTATTTCTCGATTGTATCAGACAATTCTCAATTGAACAGAGGACGTGAACTTCGAAATTGGTGCTAGCGAAAGTACTAAAGGTCTGATTTGAAAATTAAGCTTAAATTATCCATGAAATCCAATAGGCTGAGTTACTGTCGAATAGGAAAAAAATTGAATGATCTAGTCTGAAAATGGCACTTCGAACACACAACTTTGAAATTCAAAGTTTTAATTTCGATTGGTAATGTTGCCATCTTTACCTGCACCACATAGAGAGCAGTTTCTCGTATTATCTAGAGAACTGAACTTTGTTTTCTAAACTTATCATGCACACATTTGACTTTTGAACACAAATTTATACGTTAATTAGTTTTTTTCTAGAAGTATCTCTTGTATTTAGATCCTATGACTTAATCCACATTCAATGTTTAACATGTGATACAATAACACAAGTAAAACAAAAACTGATTGATCAAATATTTCAATGTTTACCCTATTCAAAACGTCCACATTATGATGATTTTGATCTAATTTTATTTACAACAAAACTAATAGCAAACACATCATCATGTTCATCTTCCTCGTCATGTTCGTCCACAAATTCATCTTTACCATTAACACGTAAAGCAACAAATGTCACAAAACATTTCTTTTTTTCCCGTAACATTATTCCATCTAAACATGATCATCATCATCATCATCATCAACAAGAATTAATTTTATTGCATGATATTGATAATACAAGTGAAACGAGTAGTCATATGAAAAAATTAAATACATTACAACATTATGGTATTGTCAAAGATGGACATGAATTTAAATTTCAATTGATTAAAAATAATGAGGTTACACTATCGAACTGTGGTAATAAGAATAGAATTAAAACAACAAATGATCGATTTATTGATATCAATACATCATCACGATCAATGACTAATAAAATCAAATCATCGACAAATATTATTACCAATCATTTATCATCTCCATGTCATTATTGTTCGCATACTATATCATCGAATAGTGATAAAAAAGAATTTAATTTTAATTCATTCTCATTAAAATCAACGTCAACATTAATGGAACAAGAGAATAGTCGTATATTTCATTTATTAAATCATACATATGAAGAAATTCGTGATAGTCGTGATTTAATTCTTCAAAATAGTGATACATGTCGATTATTTGAAACAAAATCATTAATTAATGTTCATTTATCAACATTAATTGAAAATATATTTATTAATAGTGATGATTTTATTCTAAAATATCTTGATGGAAATGAGTCTTTTAATTTTGAATTTTTTCATATTTTTTATGCTCATTTTATACCGTTCATTATTCATAGTTTAAATTGTTTACTTGATCTACAATTACATCCATGTTTACAAAGTTCATTTGAAATAATTGCTACTCTAATTCAAATTGGATGTTATCAAACAGAAGGACATATTAATTGTTTAATATGCGAAAATACAACTAATGATCATATTCACATGGTATGTATTTAATTTATTATTAAAAATATAATGAGATCTTGAATCATTTTACTTCTTTATTTTTAGAATATTCAAAATTGTAAATTATTATTTACCGATGAAATTCAACGAGTTCGTCTTTTGTACACAAATATTCAACGTCGATTAACAAATAAATTGAAGATGAAACATAATCCCGATTATTTTACAACAAATAAAATATTGACTGAACAAAATTTTGAACTTGATCGATCTATTTTAAATGAATTATTACAATTTTCATGTTCACATTTTGAACAGGTACTTTTTGTAGAAATCTCCATTGATTTCATATGTCATTGTCAATTTTCTTTATTTTAGATTGTAAATGGAATTCAACATACGGAACTTGTGTTTAATTTTGTAACATTTGTTCAAATGTGTTCTGCAAAAACATCATTATCAGTAAACAAAGTTTTCTAATTTTTTAAACAGGAGTTCTTTCTTCTACTACTCAGGATGTTTTGTTTCTTTGTATACGATTTCTTTTTTATATAAAATATTCTCTCTGGTTTTTTCACAAATAGATAAAATAAAATCAGTATTATTTATAAAAAGAAATGATTCTGTCAAAAAAGTCTATGATCGAAGGATGGATTTGTTTCACATGGATTCGCTCTCTCTTTTTCACTCCCTCTCATTTTTTTCTGAAAAATTTAAGCTTTGCTGTTTGAAAAAACGAGATACCATCGAAAAAATTCGAAAAAGTAGCAACTTTTCAATTACTCCGATCGACTTTTTAATCATTAAGAATTTAATGTGTATATACATGTACATACACAGTGTTCAATGGGTGAAAAGAATTTTTCGGAAGCCCGTTGTTTTCAGAAAGTCAATGATATTGAGTTTTTGGAAAAGCTGGTTTTAAGTGCTTTTACGTATTAAGCACACTCGATAACCATAGTAGATTTTCTATTTTTGGCGAGGAATTTCTCTTTTCTTCGTTTATTTGTGATGTATCCTTATCGGCCCATCACTAGAAAAGAGTGCCTAGGCTTCACAGTGTGCATCCAGGCGGACTTTTAGTGAAAAATTGAAAGTGCGCTTTTTGGTGATTCAATAGTGATTTATATACTTTGGACCACGCTCTATTCAATGACGAAAAAATGTTTTTCTTAGGGCATACTTATATTGGGAAAATCATTAGACAAAAATTACGCTAAAAAAAAGAGGCACTGTCGGAAAACTGAACTAATGCACTAGTAAGTTGAGCCGTCAAACAAACAAATATATATTCTTAATCTTTGTGAAGTCTTCTAGTGGATTGACAACAAGAATTTCTAGTTTAGGGGTTTTCAAGATGGGAAAAAGTTATTGTACATTTTATTAGCGAGTTTCCAAAGAGGTGCATTCAGTAAAGTACATGCACGAAGAAAAGCGAATCCAATTTAGATGAAAGTTTCAGGAAATGTTGAGCTATATAGGACGCGTGCAAGCAGTTAGCGAAAAGTAGCGAAAAGTTTTCTGTTCTTTTCCAAAGCCTCTAGCTTTTGAAGGTATTTTCTATTTTTCTCGCCCCAGAAGTGTTTTTAATCAGTAAAAATGACATATTCAGCATCAGCGCAATAAACTGCATCGAATGATGTGTGATTCGTAAGTTTTTCTGAGCAAAAACTTGTTGGAACTAACGAAAGGCTGAACTCGAAGCTTCAGTCACAATTTTGGCTAAGGATTTTGATATTTGCCATAGAAGCAGTCCAAGAGTCTATAAACACTTTTTTTATAGATTTTCAGATATGCTCTTTCCAATAATGCGCTTTATAAAGTTCCAGAATACTCATCTGTGGGCTGTCTAGAGATCCGATCTCTGGAGAACCCAGATGAAAGCCTCTTTGAACTTCGTAAAGCACACCATTGCAAAGAGCATATCTGTAAACCTATTAAAAAAGTGTTTGTAGACTTTCGGACTGCTTCTACAGCAAATGTCCGCCTGGCCTATGGAAAAATGCACACTGTGCCCCTCTCCCCCAAATTGAAGACTATCTGGTGTATTTTGTCTAACAATTCGAATTCTAAAGCGTGCTCTTATATTGCGGCCAACTTTTGTGGCCTGCTAGTAGTTCAACGGGAGAAGATCATGGTCTTTTATTTGACTTTCTAGTCATACAATCGACATGGGTCTTCTAATGAAGGGTGAAATTCTATTATACGATTTTCGTCTATTATGGAGGGGAGGGAGAGGGATGTTACCACACTCAGTACCCCATTAGGCATCGAAGGAAGTTCTTTGTCAGCAAAACTTTTTTTCATTAAGCTTCAATAAATCACAAGCTGTGAAAAGGTCTTTTTAAAAAAACAAATAAGTCACAATTTGTCTTTTTAAAAAATCGACGTTTTAAGAAAAAAGGAAACTTTTGTAACAAAAGTCTAATTCATGAACAAAACTTTTGTTCATTAATTAGAGCAGCAACTTTATGTTTGTTTTATTCCAGGAAGTTCAAAGTACCTTTTTTTCCATTATATCTTATTTACTCTCTAACCAAAGCATACTTTACTATTGTGGTCTCTGTAACAGATTGGTTTACTTTGTTTTCATTTAAAAATGTTTTTCCTCAGTGTGCAAATAAAGTAAACAGAAATTTGCAGTCATAATTCGAATGTATCTTTATAAGCGTTATGGTACTTTGTCCTAAAAGTTTCCCAACAGAGCGCTCGCCGATATTTCCGATAAGAAAAATATAAACTATCGTATTTGCACTCTTCGTCCGAACACGTTCGGTCGCATAAAGTTTCGGGGCCGAACACGTTTGGTAGCGAACCGTTCGATGATCGAACTATCGGACTGGCGCATGCCTACATGAAGTCCGCCTTCGCTTCAAAAATATAAGTAGTGCTTTGTCTCAAAAGAATTTTTCAAAGTTTTAAGAGATCACATGAATTCCAGATGAATATATTATTACCGTATTTTCCGTATTCTCTCATTCTATTGATATACAGTTTTATTAGAAAAATATTATAGAGAAGTTCTAAAAAGGCTGAGTAGCTTGTCTATTCCTAAAGAGTCATTAAGGTAACCACTATCTACAAATATGAATCGAATTGAAAATGAATGAATACGGCTGACGTCGTCTTTCACCCTCTTTCACTACTAAACGATATTTTATTCATGATTTTATTCACAATATATTATTCACTTTACACTATCCTTGACTTCTTCTTGCATCAGTAGTGGTACGTATGAACATTTCTTCCTCGAAATTAAACGGTTCTAGAAAACTCGTCTATTTACCACATCTCTTTGCTGGAGTTAAATGAATGATAAAGAAAGAATACAGCACCACAAAAAGCATTGATTCAAATTGGGATTTAAATGATGTTTTGTACTTCTTTTGTGTTTCTGAAGGGCCTCCCCCTCCTCTCTGAGAAATGATGATTTTGTATCGAAAAAATCAATTTAGAGACACCCTAGACATCGACTCTTATATAAGGATCTCACAAGGCACTCCCAAGAAACATACAAAATATTTATCAACTTTTTATAAGTTTCTAATGAGCTGCTCTTTGCTCTCTTCAGCTGTTCTTACCGTGCTTTAAATTATACTTATTGGATAGGTGCATTTTGCTAGAGATCAGGCTGAAAAGGCGGAATTTATGCAAGCGAGAGTGATGTCGTCCCCTTTATTCTCCTGTCACACAATGTTTTTTTTCGGACTTCATCCTTTTCCATAAAGTTGGAGGCAGTGGACCATGAGGGCGAGCCTTTAGACTGCTCACTTGCGACTTAGATCTTATTACCGAAAAACAATATCAAGAAAATTTTATTCAAGTGTGAACGCAGCAAATTGAATAAGGAAACACAGGAGTATGGGTTGGATCTGCAAAATTACGACAGTTTTCTTGTCACAATCCGGTAAGAATTTTATAAGAAGTTCATAGGAAATTGGTAAGAAACTGGTAAGATTCTTATAAGATATTCATAAGAAAGTGACAAGACGTCTTGTTACTTTCTTATGAACATCTTATAAGTTTCTTATAAGAATCTTATCAGAATCAGTGAATTTCTTATCACTTCCGTGCAACATCTTGTATAAGAATCTTGTAAGAATCTATCTTATAAGGAACTTATAAAAATTGTAAAAAATTCTTTCTCTAGGGCAAGTACATGGAAAGATATCCTGGAGTGCCTACTTTCAGAATCTATCACTGTGGAGGGTGGGTTTTTGGCCTTGGACCGTGGAAAACCCTGGAACGGTAAGAGATAATAAGGCAAAAAAGAGTTCATAACCACATTCTGATATGGCAAACATTTGCTAAAAGTTTGATCAAAATCGGATGTAAAACAAAAACGTATTTTTCTGAGGGAATCCTTAAGTGAAACATCATAAAGCGCTAGAAACATTTTTTAAAAACTGAAAAATTTTTAGCGTATCTCTAATGAATATTATTTAAAAAACGTCATCGTTCTTACTATTAAGATCCTAACAGATACTTATCCAATCTTGAAAAAAGCTTAGACACTATAATCTTAGAAAAATCTTATCAAATCTTAGAATTTTCGGGTCGCACGATCTTAGTACGATTTGTTTAAGATGTTAGATAAATATAAGCTGAAATCTTACTAAGATCTTAATAAGATTTTTCTAACATCTTAGTAAGATTCGAGTACGTTGTTCACTAGGAATGTATTTTCGAAAGCGTATAAGTTCGAAAATATAAGTTTCATTGATAACTCTTTTAAAATGATTTCAGATATTCTGCCAAGAACGTTTTTCATTTCCTGTCTTCTAATAGTTTTCATCATTGAAATTCACCGCGTTCCTCATATTTTCTAATAAAAATTGATTAAAAACCAATTTTCTTTCTCGTTTTGCTCCGTATAATCTTTTTGTACTAATTCACTAATCGCTTCAAATCAAGAATTTATCAAGAAAGAAGAAAAGAAGAATCATTCAATTCCTCATCTCTTTGTATACTCGATCGTTCTCTAACCTTTTCCTCTCAGTTGCGTTTGAAAGTGACTGATGAAAGGTCAAAATACCACATAAAAAATAAAACATAATACGGACTAATCACACTAAATGCATGAAAATAAGTGGTTGTTTATTCATTAATAAAGTCTACTTTCCTTCAAAACAAATGCAAACTTCGGCTTGTAGAAACTTATTAATATTAACGTAAACGGCCTAAATGAATGTTTGGCTCCATCCTGTAAGTGTAGGATTTAGAAGTAACAGCTTTACACCATTATCGTTTGAGGCATCGTGTTCATATGGACGTCTGCCAATATAGACATGTCTGATAGGATTACATATTGATTGTAATTCTTGAAAAGCATTTGGTTTGTTTTGGGATTCTCTTATTCCATCTAGCAGTAAGCTCTGTAGAAATAAACTTAGAATATTTCGTGTCATTAATAATAATCGTATGAATATTTATATTCCAATTGATCAAGAAACAGTCACACGAAAACGATGTTTTTCAAT